TTTGTTGAGGTGCTGCAACTCCTTTCTTTTTTCCCTCCCCCAAAAAAGGAAGAAAGATAATTTTTAGATACAGGGGTATGTTTAGTTGGGGATTTCTTCTTTCTTTTCCAGAGTCAGAGCAGGGACTCCTCTTTCAGTCTCAGTTAACATACTTTTAAATCATATCAGTGTTATTTTTAAAATGTTGATTTACAACTTCTGAGTTCAATGCAAAGCTTTGAACTGAAGCAGCACCAGGTCTCACCAGATAGGACCACCAGTTTTGGAAGACAGATCTGTATACATATTAATGTAAATATACTTCATCAAGGTATTTTGAGATGAATTTTTCCACTGTGCAATCCAAACTATTTTAACTGGAGGTTTTTTACATTTACACCAGTGCTGCTCAGTATTCAGATGAAGTTTTCAGGAATAGTTACACTTTTTGTTTCTTTTTCCCTGCTTAAGTCTTAAAAATCACCTACCTTTAGGTCAGAGATCCCGTAACCTTTTCTCAAAGTGATCTGGAAAACGTCCAGAGAGCTGATGAATGCTGCAAGCCTTGTCAAGCTCTGCTTGCCGCTTCCACCTACCCCAACCAGCAGAGCGTTACCTCTGGGGGACTCCAGGATACGGTTGATGCGGCAACTAAATTGAAGCATACAAAATCTCTCATTAGTAAGAGTTTTTTTTCTTTTTCTCTGCCTGGTGCTTTTCAATACATATTTTATTCACGAGGAAATTGTACTCTAAATGGGATGAAAAATGGCAATCTGAGCAGCATGTCAGCAATCAATCCCAATCTCTGCCGAGACCTATATCAGGGCCACAGTTGTCGAAAAAAATAGTGCAGTGGCAATTCAGGCTGTGTCAGATTCTCATTTCATCTGACATGTTTGGTGGGACAGAAATATATGAAGGCCTGGCACTTTTGCAGGGGAACAAGTGAAGAAGCACTCTATGTTCATTCTGTTCTGAGAACAGAATTCAAGGACTGATGAAGTGCAGAACCTGAGAACAGAATTCAAGGACTGATGAATCTGTCTGGTATTCGGGGTTCATGTTCACATGTTTCCTTCTGTGCATGAAAATATTTTAGAACAGTATAAATCCTTTCTAGAAAACACAATCTTATTTCCTATTCAGTCAAACGACGAACTACTTCAGAGCATGATTCTGTCACTCTCATTCTCGTGTGTCAGCCCCACACATGCAAGGATGGTCCATTTCCAAGAGCTAACACACGGAGTGACTTAGTTTGGGACAGGAGAAGTGCCTGTTTCCTTAGCACCTTTCTTTGAAATTCCTGAGGTCATGAAGTTCAGCATTTGGACCCAAGTTCTATTTCTTAACAAGTCAAGTAAACAACAGAGGCATGAGGTACAGAGTCAAAGGAAAGGAAACTCTCGATTCTACCAAAGTATCTTCCATAAGAAAAGAATTCATTATTATTTTGAAGCTTTGTTCACTTATTCCATTTAAGAGAGACATCATTAATGCTATCCATCACTAATTTATTCCCTTAAGGCAATAGCCAATGCTCCCCACTCCTTAAAATACCAAGTAAGGACAAACATTATTCTGCTTCTGAAAACTTCACTGCCCTCTTAAACACCAGCCCTATTCCCTTCTTCCCATCACTGTCTGTATTTATCTCACTTAACTGAGTATTTTCCTAGCCTAATCTGAATCAATTTTTCAAATAAGACTTTGAAGGGCACCGTGCTGCTTTACTCAAGTATCTTGCAATTTGATCACAGACTTCATTTGATTGTGAAATTATACCCAGAAAAGCAATCAGATTTGTGCAGAAAGCAAGTCTTCCTAGTTTAATTCTCCCTCGTCCTTGTTGTGCTCTCCAGGGCTGTACACGCTGCGAACATCTGCAATCAGCCCTGGATTGGGATATGGCAGGCAGGTATTTCCCACCTCCTTTCAGAAATTAAGCTCTTAAAAATTAGTTTTTTCATCTTAAATCTTTCAGCAAATTCAAGTTGAAATTTACCCACTGCTTGAGATTGAATAAATTGTATATTTCAGCAAAATGCAATTCCAAATGAAATGAATTAAGTTTACCCAGTCCCAATGAAAATCATTTAAGCACCTGGAGATGAGATTCTGTCTGTACTGGGATTCTCAAAGAGTGTTTAAATGATTTTGAAAAATACAAGTACCTCACAGACATAAAAAATATAATAAAAATAACATAATGTAAATATATTTTAAATTGGGAATTTAAAGCTTGATATTTTCAGATATTCCCAAATGTGCAATTTTCAAAGAGACTCTGTCTGAACCTCCAGGCTTCTAAATGCAATAGGGATTTTCAAAGACTCAAAACTGCAAAAGCAAAGCCTCAACCCATTTAAACTAATAGACACCACACATGATATCATTCTAGATAAATTTGAAAATCCCACGTAAAAAACCTGCATAAATATGGCTCTAGATCAAGTCTGAAGGCATACCTTTGTAACAGAGACGGCACCAAATAATAAAGACATTTAGGAAAATCCCAGTATACCTGTCTCTGTAGACAGTTGTCTAAATGAGGACTCACACAGATCATAGAATCGTTAAGGTTGGAAGGGACCTCTAGAGATCATCTAGTCCAACCCCCTGCACACGCAGGGTCACCTAGAGCACGTGGCACAGGACTGCGTCCAAGCGGGTTTGGAAGATCTCATATACATAAGCCATAAAGCACTTGTACATTACCACATACAGTAAATCTCTGTGCAATAGCACAGTGTCAAGAGCCTAAAATATCACAACAGCATCCAAATCTTAAAGTAACCACCAGCACGCAGTTCCTCTGTCTCATAGCCCAGGGCCTGTTCACAGGTTTAAGTGTCTTGCAAGTGACAGAGAAGAATCTCAGTATTTGTGCAGGATGCTTCACAGAATGTGTGGAAGGCTCAATTTGCTCAAAAAAAAAAAATGGACACTAAATAAAGGACTTCCAACCTCTATTTTTGTCTGTCTACTTCAATATGCTCAGTGAGACTTCCCACAACACCCCCAGTTTTTCTTACATCAGCCACAACTATGGATATCTACAGCTTCCAGGAAACTTCATGCAAGCAATCTGTGCAGTCAAGTACTACTACGAGAAAATGAGGCCAGGAAATCCTCTTACACATGGCACATGGCATCCTCAAAAAGCACCAAGTTCATGGCAGCGTTGACTTCGTTGTAATTATCCAAGGCTTCCACAAGGATCTGGTTCAATTCTTCCCAGTTTGGAACAGGTCTATAGCTGGGTTCTCCAATGCCTTTTGCAAAATGACAATATATGTTCATCTGCTTGGTCTGTTCTAAAGTTTCCTCCATCTCCTGACGAGGAAATGCAAAGTATGTAGAATAATTGTGAGTATATATACATAGTGTTAGAATGCTGAAATGGGTAATGGGTGGAGATCCCGACCATCCAAGGCTGTATGGCATAGCATAGATCTGCACTGGGAATCGTTTTTTCACAGAATAGATGATCCATCCCACAAAATATGTGTATAAAGTATACTGAAAAAACACTACAGCTATATGCTGGATTTCCAAGAAAAACATGTTATTCCAGAAAATACCTTGTTAGTCTTTTTATAACCGCATAGTTGCACTTGTGGGTAGAAAAAAGGGTCAGGATAGACAAGAGGAAAAAAAGAAAAAAGCATGGAAAGATCCTGTACTTTTCACAACTTTTTGAAAAACATTAAAAAAAACTCAACTTACTGCCATGAGAGAACATGGCCACAAGGAAAAGCCTAAAGCAATAACCATAACATTAGGCTTTTGCATGGACAATGATAATCCCTGGAGGAAAACTAGCTGTCTGCACCACTGCTGGCTTTGATGATACCTGTATAATTCATAAGGCAGCATTGCTGGGTGATGCCAGGCCTGAAGGAAAGCAGGTCTAGTGTTTTCATTTGTTTTCATTTCATTTCAATTTCAATTTTGGAGGAAGCAAAGACACTAAGGACTTTTTTTCTGCATTCCAGTACCTCTCACTGAAAGCACAGAATCTGACTCTTCTCCAGCTTTTGCCTTCTGAGACTCGAAGCTCTTAAATAAAGTAATTAAATTAATTTACAGAGCCCAAGTATCCTTCCCCCACCCCCAGAACAGACACAGCACCTCATTTACCCATATCATACCACTGACAGTCCAGGATATAGATGGCAGAGACTTGTTCCTCGTGCAGTGCTTCCACTAAGAGCATTGCCCTCCAGACAAATGAGCCATGTGCAGACCTCAAGTCAAACTCCTTTTTCCCCAATAAACTTTTTTTGTATATTAGAGTCAAGACCTGCAACACTTACATCATAGAATTTCTTCACCATCTCCAGCTGCATTTTATCGAAGATAACACAATCATTTTCTTCAACCATCTTATCCCGGTATACCCGGTTTGACTCATGCAGGTAGAGCTTCACAAGGTCTTGGGGGTGCTTCAGAACCTCAGGGGTAGAAAAGAGAAGGCCCTGAAGAGAAGAGAGACAGTCAGAGTAGCCCATCTCAATCACAAGGGACCCCCTCACTCATAGCATCCAGATACCATGCCAGAATTGGGCTGAAGAATTATAAATGCGGTTATTACCTCAATCTATAGGTGAGCTTCTGAATAACCCCCTACTCACCCATTCATGGGTTAAGTGTCCTTTCTTTGTCTTTATGTCTTAAAGCAGCAAAGTAGTTTGTAATCATTTTGTGCGCAGGAAGGTCTGCACAACCAGTGCAACCCGATTTTGCCAGTGGTCCTGGTCTCCTTCGCAGCAGTCAAGACTATCAAGAACCAGGTGTCAGCCCAGAAGCAGGGCTTTTTGATTCATATCATACCAGGCGCATTTTCAAGAGGAAAAATCAGTTTGGAAATCTCAGTATTGATGAATTTAAAAAATAATAATTTTAATTAGTACATTCTGCCTGCAGGAAATATTAGTTGCTGTCTGCAACAGTATGTTTACTATGATCAAAGAATAACTATATTTTAAAGAGGTGTTACCTATAACTAAGCCTACAAAAAGTGGAAAAGTTTTCAATGAGTTGAATTAAATAGACAACTTTTATTCCTAAAGGTCAAATTATTCATATGAAGGGTATACAAAGCATTAAAAGCTAAAAACTCAGCAAACTGGCCTGCAGTCAAATAATTCAGGTTTCACATTTGTCCTTATAGCTGTCAAATTGTTATTTTGTTTATTACAGAAACAACATGGGTGAGAGAATAGCTGACAACTCAGAGAAAGGGTTAAAGTGCAGTACATCAGGCCTTCAGCTGAGAAGAAAAATAAAATAAAATAAAATAAAATAAAATAAAATAAAATAAAATAAAATAAAATAAATCACTTGCCCTCTCTAAAGACACCTCACAATGCAAAAGATAACATATTCTTGATACAAGCAAATGCATGGCTATTTTTGAGTGGAAAAATATCCACACTTGGAAGTTCTCTAGTTCAATTAAAATCTCTCCATTTCTCACTATGCAAGCCAGCCCCGTCGTGCTGCTCATTCACAGCAGTGTCGCTCCCGGCTGCTCCCACTGAAATAATTAGTCACATCCTCCAACAGCAGTGAGGTTGTTCTGTTAGTCAGGTAGAGCTTTAAGATGTCATAGTGCCTAAACTGGGACAACATAGAGGATTTGTGGCCATTAGCCATCATATTTATGATGGATGCAGCTCCAAAACACAACTCCATCTGGCTGTTGAGCCTTCAGGTTGTATTTCAGCTTCTCTTCCTATTCTATATATCTTAGAAATTAGCTAGGAATTCCTCCACACACACCTTCTCACTTCTGCTGGATGTTTCTGTACATAACTGATGGTATATCTGATAACATCATATTCATGATAAAACATCACAGTACAGGTATTTGCACAAGTAAAGAAATGTGGCCATTAGAGTTTGATGGGGATCATCTGGGTTGCATAGACATGGACTGTGCTGGAACAACCCTCCTCCCACTGAGCCCGATTAGATCAGGATTTATTAAAGGGTAGTCTTGAGCGACAGATACTTGAGGAGTTTAATAATCCTCCAAGGAGACGATGCATATTTGGAACTAACAAAGAAAATATTCTAATCATCCCAGGAAGATTCATCTTTTGTGTCTTTGTCACATATCAAAGTACCATGTGCAAGTTGATAAGAGGGGTTGTTGATGCTCTGGCAAGACAGGAACTGACCTAAACCAGGGTCTCATTTTCTTTCATGAGCTCTATGAAAGGGAGCAGAAGGGCAAGAGGTGAGAGATAACAACAGCGATCAAGTCAGCTTGTCTGGGCACACAGCCCATCCCACCCAACAGGATGTCACGTTGACTACCAAGACTATGATGATGCCAATGGGATATTTTTGTTGCCCATCAGAGCTCTTCAAACCATGACAAACACTGATCACCTTGCCCTTTACAAGGTCAGCACAGCTCTGCGGCTGGCACCCAAGGCTGAATGAGGTCAGAGTGGGGCAATGTCCACTGAAGAGTCATTGATTAGGAGGGTGATTAGAAAGTGCCAAAACAAAATCTCCTAGGTATAAAGATATATGAAAAAATACTCTCTTTCTTCACAGTCTAAATAACTTTTAAAATAAAAATAACCCGTCAGCATTATGACTCCTTTCCAGCTGCTCCATGTCACGGGGCGAATTGCTCTAGTCGTTGGCCCTGTTCCCACTCCTGATGTCCGAGGCTAAGTCACATCAGAGGACTACAACAGGTCAAGAGAGCAAATGAGCCTGCTTCTGATCCTGCAACAGTTCAGCAGCCTTCTCTGCAACTGTGTATGCCGTGGCTGCAGACGATGCACGTGGTGGGTATTGATGAGTCTAAAATTTGCACTGTGGTTCTTTAGCAAGCTGGTGTCCAGGGAGAGACACAAGGAGCCATCCATCGTGCAAAGAAGCCCCTAAACCACACTCGAACACTGAGCTGTCTCTGAGTGAGGCTGGAGGGAGGCACGCTGGAATTGCTCTTATCATCCTGCTGTCAAAGAAGAAAGCGATGCCGTTCCTTCTAAAAAGCCACGGATCTTAATGTGACATGCTGGTTGAAAATCTTGTTAGAAATGAGAATAAAAAGCAAAATACAACCCTGCTGAGTCTATCATTATTATTTTACCGGGATGACAGATATAATTTAGAGCATAATACCATGGTAACCCTTTCGGATGGAAAGACAGACAGCAACAGGGTTTTCTGTAGTGTGAGCCAGCAGGGAATAGATTTTTAAAAAGCATAATCCACAATTCTCTCACTGCTGAGACCTGTCTTCCTTAATCAAGGGTAAATTGCCTGGAGCGTACCAATCAATTTAACTCTGCAGCGCACGGTGGCACCCAGAGGAATGAGAAGGTGCCATGGAAATGCAAGGCAGTGTCGCGTCAAACTTTAATCACAGGTGGGACCTTCTACAGAGGGAAAGCAACAGCTAACCTCTTCTGGGGCAGCCAAAAGCTCATCAGAATATGAAGGACTGAAGGGTGACCTTCCCCAGGAATAGCAATGGGAGCAGCAGTGAGTGACATGGTAGGAAGGAAAAGAGCCAAGGTTATCACTTCTGTAATATCTTCTGCTCCAGCTCCTACTTGCCTGTCACCCTGGACAGCAGTTTTCGACTTGTCCAGTTCCCAAATGTTTCCAACTGAAGGGGAAGGTCCTGTGAGAGTAAATTAAGGCAGCTAATGCTGGGTAGGCTTTGTAATACTTGCTCAGTCTTCTGTGACTTTTCAAAACCAGCCCTTGAAGCCAAAGGGTTGATGGAGGTCATTTATTCAACCTCATTATTCTTTTTCAAAGCCACAAAGGAGCCTCCCTCAAAAGCCAGATCACAACAGGTCTCTGAGTCACCAGTGACCAGAAATTTGTTGGTGCATTTGTCAAATAAACTGTGCCCCTGTGCTGGCCTCGCTCTCCCAGGTGGGCTCTCTCCCTTCCTCATCCTTCTGCCAGTACCCCCGATGGGCAGTACAAACATCACTGCACAGTGTCACCCTGGGGAGACTGGCTCATTTCTGTGAGGACCTGACCCAAAACTTCAAGCTACAACATGCAACTGCCTGATGTCTGCACACCACTGAGTAAAGTACTGGTTTCTCCAGCAAAAAAGGGAGGTCCACAAACAAAATCAATTGAAGACAGCAGAGAAAATCATCATGTAGTAGGAACATGTGGGATTTCACATGACTTTCTCAGGCCAAGCACAGGAGGGCAGTTTATCTTAGCAGATTTCCAGGCTGGTTTCAGTTTGAGATCAAGACACCTAAACTTCATTGCAGGTGTCTGCACACACAGCGGGTGAGATTTCAGTCCAGGAATACCTGCTCAGTCACCAAGATGTGGCAGAGCTCAAGCACCTCAGGACAGCAGGCATAACACAGCAAAACACCTGCATCCTGCTAGAGCATCTCGAATGCAAGCGGGATGTGCTCATGAAGTGACACGAGACACCCAAGCTTCAGCAGACAAGCAAAGCCATGGCCGTGTCCCTGGCAGGGAGCGGGGCTGCCCTCTGCTCCACAGCATACGGTGAAGCTGGATACCTCCCACCCCGGGGTCCAAGAGCCCAAACCTAGAGCAAAGTCCCACCTTGGAGCTGCACGGTGTCATTGCGGCCTTGGACTCCTTTTACCTCCACTGAAAGGAGCTGCTTCAGAAACACGTTTCCTCCGAGCAGTTCTGCCTGTTTACTTTAGGGTGAGTTAAACAGCACACAGAAATGTCCTTTTCCTGTCTGGAGCATGATTAGCCAGAGAGAATTCCTAGCCCAAGGCTCAGATCCCAAGAGATGGTCCTTCCAGCCTAGACAGGGCAAACATGAGCATCACCATTCTAGCAGCACCTTCAGTCCCTGAGTTCATGGGCTGCTCCTTTTCCCTTCAGTTTCACCGATATTTTTATTTGCTTGGCCAAATCTTACTGGTTGTGCCTATTGCACTTTGCAGCCATTTGGAGGGAATGCCTTTTGGTTTCACACTCAGGTGCATCCCGGAGCAGGACTTGTGCCATTCCTCACGCTGAGCAGCACAGACACTAGCTGGGGGGTAATGGTTACTGGGTACAGACAGGCAAACACAAAAGCGAAATATGCACAGGCCTGTCTGCTGGCTGTTTCTTTTGGAGCAGTTTTTTTTTTTCTTCTTTTTTTTTTTTCTGCTACACTCACAAGCACAGATAGGTTCAAATTCATTCATTCTTCATTATCTGGAGCAATTAAGGTACAGGTTCTTGGAGTGTTTTGTAATGAGACGATTAGCACAGGGTTCATTGTAATAGAAGCTGTCAGGCAGTTTTGACGAAAAGAATCAAGCAGAGCTTGTAAGGCACCGCACAAATGTTTAGATACAGCATTAATATCTGATATGATAACGATGGAACTATTGGACAGACTGCAAACGGAGCTGTTGTTAACAACCTGTGCACGGTCAGCAACGATTCAATAAAGAAGCAGCAAGTTCCAAGGGCTGACTCCTCCATGGCTGCATTTTGCATATGTTTCATGCCATACACCAGATCTCATCAGCTGCTTTTATAGTTTACAGGATACCTGGTGTAAAAGCAATCCTCAAGCAGCTTTTATATATTCTGCTATTATACATTTCATGTTTGATTGTTTGTCTGTGATTAAAAGAATTTGAAAATTTGTGCTCCTACCCACAAGCTTTCCATGCACCCATTCTCTGTCTTCCCAAAGGTTAAAAAAACTCGGATGTCCCTGCTCCTCTTCCCCATCCCTGTCCCTCACCATAGGGTGAGTCTATCAGTGAAAGAAGGTTCAGGATGGTTTCGAATCCTCACTCTGGGAAATGGTCAAAAGTCACCTGAACAACCTGATGTAACTTTAAAGTTAGTCCTGCTTTGAGCATGGGCTTGGTATCAGAGACCTCCAAATGCCCTTTCTGAGCTAAACTATTCTAGGAATCTCTAAAAAACAAAACAAAACAAACTTCAATGCAGCACATGGAGATGCATTCTCAGAGCCCAGGGCTTCCTCCACCCTCAGTTTCAAAAAGAAATTTGTGTTCCAGCAATCTCTCATGAAACCAGAACTAAATAGGAAATCTCAAAAAACCCTGGAATATATAATGTAATGAAATATCAAAAAGTAATAGTAAAAGGTGAGGAAGAATTTAAGAAAAAAAAAGTTTAAATAAATATAATGAACCTTAAAAGCCAAATTTCTCTCCCTCTGTAGCTATATGATAAACTCAAAGCCATGTGAGCTCCTATCAGCACACCCACTCTCTGGCCCAGCATCCAGATCTGAGAGCATGATTTCCAATATCCCAAAGCCTGAGCACTTTGCAAGCAGACCACAGTTAAATATCCAAGTTTCCTGCAGATATGCTTCTCTCCTCCCTTCTCAGCCTTTCCAAGCACAGATTACCTAGAAGCCAGGATTTAAAATGACCCAAGTCCAAAGGCAGAGACCCGCGATGTTTAGCCATTCATGGGCGACAGGTTTATACCTCCTTGATACAATAGAGTATTAGCTATTTCACAGCCCCATTCGTGGATTTTCCATTGCCTAACATGGCTTTTACTCCTATCTGATGTACCAAACAACAAGGCATTGAACCTTCTCTGTTACTTTGTAAAATAGCTGTTAATGACAATGATAGCAAGGAATTATAAACCCAGCTTTATAATGGATTGGGTTATTTCAAACCTCTTATATTTTACTGCTGAAAACTTTCTCAAGCTTTTATTAATCAGACAAACTCTGAAAGGATTAGCCTCTGCTCAAAGGCTCCTTGAACAGCAATATCTACTGTTTTAAGTTATGATTTTTCTAAGGAAAAAAATCACTGCCATTGTTATAGGAAAATATTTCTGATGTCTCAAAATTGAGGCTGGAAACCTCCCCTTTGTAGGAATCCTGGGCCAGTTGTAATTCTATTTCAGTAAATTTAGTCCAAGTTGCCTTTGATTCAAGTAATTTATCAATTCTTTAAATGCCGAGGATTGTTGGGTTGGGAGAACTCATCCACTACCTCCTCACACTGCTCTGGGCCAGGCTCCAGACACTACCAAGGAATAGCAACTGCACTTACTTGGAAGATATTGGAGAAGTCTCTCAGGTTGAAAATGTAATGGAATTTGATGGCTGTTGGCAGGAAGGTAGCAGCCACTTTCTGGTGCAGGCCCAAGGCCAGGCTGATCAACTGCTGAGTTGATTTTTGCACAGCCTCTGAGAAATTCCCATTTGCCAGGTGCTGCATGAGGATGGTGCTGTAGATTCCAGACAAGGCATCCTGCCCCGGAATTGAGAGGGCGAAGACACAGAAGTGACGCTGAGGAAGAGAAAGAAATACATGAAACGATCAGAGAAGTGGGCAACCACCTCTGCAACAGAATGTCCTTAGAGACTTGAAGTAAATATGGAAGAAGTGGAGTCTCCTTCTCTGGAGATCTTCAAAACCCCCCTGCAGACGCAGGGTCACCTAGAGCATGTGGCACAGGACTGTGTCCAAGCAGGTTTTGAAGATCTCCAAAGAGGCAGATTCCACAACCTCTCTGGGCAGCCTGTTCCAGTGCTCTGTCACACTCACTGTTGAGAAACATTTCCTTAAGTTCCTGTGGAACTTTTGGTGTTTCAGTTTGTGGCCATTACCCTCTAATTCTGTCAGTGACCACCACTAAAAAGAGGCCGGTCTCATCTCTTACAAAGTTTTTATCTGTCTGTTACCATCAAGACTCATAACTGTCTTACTGTATTCCTTTATTTTTTTCCATCGTGTGAATGCACTGCCAGCTCTATCAGGAAATTAAAAAAAAGTTTTATGAAATACATTCCAGTGGTAAATATTAGCTAAATGAAAGCAAAATCTGTTTCTGCTAACCAGAAGGCTATCCTGAAAGTAGGTATTACATTGGCTGGCAACTTTGCCTCCAACTCTAACCATCAGGATGTGAGGAAAACGTAAGGGAAAAAAAGGAAGGGAGCAGTGTAATGTTTCACCACTATGAATTATGGTCACTTCAGGGATTCATGTCATTTCTAAAATGACAAAACAACATCTGGATCTGCCAGTTTTGTTCTTCTGGTCTGGCATCTGAACTGCAGGGTCACAGATATAACCTAACCTGCCTGCAGATAACATCAGCAGTGCCTGTGATTGTGCAGAGCTTTACCTGCAAACGTGGATTGATGGTGAAGCTCCCTGCAGTGGGGTTCATGCACGACACGTACTGCACATTCATGATCTCCTTCAGTGACAACTTGGTCCTGTCGTACCTTTGAGCGAAACAAGAGCAGCATCACAGCAAGCACAAACGAGCAACAGCTGCTGCATTTCTCCCTGCGTGCTCAGGACATCGTCCTGATGTCCATCCTCATGCCATCTTCAGCACTGCACAGAAATCTGGGATCAAATTCTGCCTCTCAACCAAGGCGTCATCCAGGCTTGCCTGTGCATTTACACACATGGAAGGCTTTTGGATTCAACAGCCAGTCCTAGCATTTCTATGGATCAAAGTTTATGATTAGTTAAGGTTGTACCATTCACATACATAGAAAACTCCATCTGTAAAAGCAGCAGAATTGTCCCTCCCCTTCTGCCCAATTCCCGCTTGCCCTTTCTGATCCTCTTCCTGCACATCCATAGGCCAAAACGGGCACATTTCCTCACGTTTCTCCACACCAGCCCAAACATTCTTTCTGCTCAGCTTAGGTCCTTGCCTGGCAGAGGAAGCTGGAAGTTGCAACGACTTCCACCACTTCACTCATGGCAGAGAAGACCTGGGAATATTTCTGCCTCTCACAGTGCTGCTTGCTGCAACATAAAAAGTACCCATCTCCTTCCTGTTTCCTATCACTGTTTTTTCTTCAAATTCCCTGTGCCTAGAAAATGCTTGTTTTCAGTGCCTGACTGAAAACAACATGAGGTTCCCACAGCAGGAACCCAGCAGGGATGATTTTCCCTGCAGAGGCCAAATCCATCACCTTGCCCTGGTCTCAGTATTGCACGTACAGCATCACGCTCACCTTGCGGGATAAAAATTGAGGCCACAGTCCCCAGCCAAGCCAAGAACGCAGCAAACGCCTCTCAAAAAGGCAGTAAGTGAGGACGCAAGCAGCAAATACAGGCAAGGTAGGAGGGACATCGCTCCGGCTTCATCTTGAACCCCATCTTAAAATGGGGTAAGAATAAAAAAGGTGTTGGATGATAAAGCACGAATGATCTCCTACCAGTGGCCATAGTCCAGGTGCTGCCTGAGCAGGGTGTGGGGCTGCACAGTCCCATAGGCATCCACTTCTGGCATATTCATATCATCAATGAAGTAGATGAGCTTCTTGGTACCAGGAGGGCCGTAGTTTCTACCAGCTTTCTTATCCAGAGGCTTCTCAAGCACGGCTGTAAGGAAGCAGAGACCCAGAGCTGAACTGCTTCAGGAACAGAAGCGGTACAAACCACACTGTTGGTGTAAAAGAGCCACCAAAACCCTCAAATTCATGTTATGGCAGAAGAGGTTCCCGTGAGGGTACCAGGATACTGGCTTTGCCAGCAGCCACAGAAGAGGAAGCAGAATCCTGTTTGCTAAGGTTATTCTGATCCATAGAACAAATGAAGGTTTTCTTTTCTTCTCCTAAACAAAAGACATAGATGTTTTGGCAGCAAATTCCTGTATATTTCCAGGAAAAGAAAATACACATATTTTTTCATATATGTTTTGATATATATGCACCAGACACCTATAAGTCTTTACCTATAATGATCAAAAATGGCAGAAAAGTTTCTTTTTTTTCCTCAAAGTTTTGGAAGGTCTTCATTTGTTCTAGCAGAAGAGTGAGGCCATGAGGCTTCTAAAACATTGGGAATACTTAAAGCTCTAGGTTGATATTTAATATAATCACTCCACATAACTGCACATAACGTTTTATAGGTTATCAATTCTTTTGATTCCAGCCCAACCAACCTTTACTAACTCAGTAAGTGGAAAAACAAACAGAAAAAGTTATCCTCTGCCTAGACCTTGCGAAGGATTTTCTGCCCTGTGCTTGCTTTGAGAACATCTTTGGTCTCAGGGGCTCGCTGCTTTTGGAAAGCTGTAGGCAGGATTTGTTTCATTTACACAGTTTTTGGTCAGACCTATTATGTGTCATATAAGCAGCATGGTAAATAGCAATTCTTTCTAATTAGGGAATACTGACAAACATAAATGGGACTGTGAATTTTTATAAAAATCTGCTTGTTAGAGTGTACATTTAATCCATGCATTACAATGTGTTAAAGCAATTAAGGGAGATTTATAAAATTTATATTCTGTTTTTCTTCAGACCACTAATTATATATTTATATCTTTAAAAATGCCTTCTCTTTTCCATTGCTTCAGCACCCTTTAGACAGCTTTTCTTTCCCACTTCTCAAAATTCAGCTTATTTCTTGTCACAGATCATTTGCTGCACAAAGGAACATACTGTGCTAAAAAAATGATGAATCTCCTCAGTGGAGGATCTCTCTCCCTTCAATAAGACCACAATATTTGAGATTTCTGGTAGCAAGTTAAATTAAGTGTTTCAAATAAGCATTTAATTTAAATTTAATTAGTCCTTAATTAACATATAAAATCAGCCATTTTTGAGGTTAAACAAGTATGCAGGAGATTCATCATACTGAAATGCAATTACTGGGGATCGAGTGACACGCTTGTGAAAGTTGCATTTTAATTTGAACCAGTATCTCAAAAAAATAATAATAAATAAAGGGTACATGTATCTGCCTCTGAAATCCTGACATACTCAAATTAGTGCCCAAAAGAAACAGTCTCAGGAAATTAAACTTAGTCGCCGTAATTCTTCTTGCCTCGCGGCTGCTGACAGAGGAATTTTGCAAATTTGCAGTTTTCTCAAGGCAAAGCTAGTGGGGAAAGGTGCTGAATCACCAGAGCTGCGGGAAGGGAGAAGTATGAGGGAGATGGGGCTGCATCATGGGAAGGAGCAAGGAGAAGCGGGTGTCAAAGGGGATACAGAGCCCAAAAAGCAGCCACTTGGGAGTCAAGGGTGATGGGAGAAGAGAGAGCAAAAAACCTGAGGGGCACAACTAGAGCTATGGAGAGTGATAGTCAAAACACACCCGAGAAAACCCAACCAACCGGCCCCACGCTGGGCAGTGAGGATGTCCGGCTCCATTCGACCCCGATGCACGTGGCAATTTTGTAAGCCATAGGGCCCTCAAGGAGTTAAACCACACACGCTGTCTCTAAAAGGCTCTCACCTTATCCCTTATAAATCTGCATACCAGCAGACATCTTTGTCTGAGGAATTACCGGCTTTCGTTTCTACTTCTCTTTTTAGGAAAAAAAAAAAAGTAATCACTGCTTTGTATCTGTGTTTTACAAATTTAAAGAAGAGCCTGCTGGGGGGAGAAAAAAAAAAAAGGAAGGAAAAAAAACACTCAGCTGACAAAGTACACAAAAAAGGGACAAATTAACTCTAAAAAATGAGCAGCGGGGAGCGCTGCCGAGCGGTATAAATCACTCCTCCCAGCAGCACGTCTCCATCCACGCACGGTCCTTCGCACGCAGGATGCCTTGCTCGTATCCACAGAGTAAAAAAGCCCCATTGTGGACCATAGCTCACCGTCAGGGTAAATACCGAAACGCTGCCAGACCTGTCTCTATAAATCTCCACGCTGGCACGTGCCCACAGCATCCGCAGCGAGATAAATGGGAGCGCGGGTTCCTCGCCGCAGCGAGCCAGGCTGGGCAGCAGTTGGGCCCGTGTCCTACTGCAAGGGCATTTCACTGACACCTCACTCAGGATGAGAAGCTAAAAAGAGCATCCAGGATGGGAACGGGGAGCTGTCCCCAATTCAGAACTGCAGATTGGCCCAAAGCTGAGATTTTCCCCTGTGCTTTGCTTGAAGGAACCGCAATAATTTGCATTAACACCATGCAGGTGCCTATTCTGATGGACACCCATCACGAAGGGTGGGAGCTCTTAGGAGAGCTTTGTCAGCAGAAGGACCACCAAAACCTTGCAAACCTGCCCCAAAGCAGCTCAGAAAGCTCCAGCATGGCTCTGTCATCAAGCCTGGGGCTGCAGAAGTCTCCTCATGCTACTAACAGTAACTTGAGGAGTTGGGCCATCGCTTTAGGCTGCTTTAGGCACGGTCCTGCCTGGCACCTACTGGCAGTGGGGGGCTCTAATGCTCCTCCTGCCCAGCCTGACTTGAGGAGTTGGGCCATCGCTCTGGGCTGCGAGCACGGTCCTGCCTGGCACCTCCTGGCAGTGGAGGGCTCTAATGCTCCTCCTGCCCAGCCTGAAGGCACAGAGATGTGTTCTCCTTCCATCGCTGCTGCTCAGGGGGATGCGCAGGGGAAAATCAGGGAGAAATAAGATGTGGCAAATGCTTAGCCACAGGGATGCTGTGAAGCAATACGGGAGCATGATGAACAGGAAAGCAGAGCAGGCAGGGGAAGTCCCATCACCCTTTCCTACTCTTATTTAGCAGAAATAGGTCACCTGTGTCTATTTTGACCTCAACAGCCTCCCAATTAGCCCCATTTTCCTACTGGTGGTGAATAAACACAAATAAATGGAGTCGCTTTCTCCTCATTGCTCAATACACACTCTGACTCATGCAAGCCAGCAGCCCTGTGGCAGGGTCCCTGACCAGTCAGATTTGCAGAAAACACAGGTTTGTCCCCAATTTAAAATCCTTGGTCAACAGGAACACAGGCTGGGAAGGCTAAATCCTCAGTCATGCTGATGCCCCAGGGACAGTGCTCTCATTTAGGACCAAGGGACCAGAAGGATTTCAGGCTGTTTGGGTCACATCAAATGAGGTTTTAGACAGATGGTATAAAGGAAGCATTTTTTTTTCATGCTGACCCATTACTGCCACTCAATTTGATAAAAGGGAAAAGAGGCTGCTCCACCCCTGCTTAGAGAACACAGGTAAAAAATATATTTGAGCTCTCTAGCTCAATTCCAAGTGAAAAATCCAATTGAAAATGAGTCTCTTTTCAAGAATTCCTTTCTTTCTATTCTTACCTCAAGAAACTACTCAGTAAAACCAACCTAAATATTAGAAGTTTTGCTCCCAAACTTCGTTTCTCACTGGTTTGCCCAAATCCTTGTTACTGCTACTCTCGCAGACTGCCCCAGGGCCTGCACTTCCCTGGGGCTCCGGGTTCCGCCAGCCTAGTGCCCCCAGGAGCGCTGTCCCCAGAGGTGGAACACGCAGCCCCTGCTCCATGGGACACGTCACACTGCAGCAGGACACCAAGGGCAGCACGGGGAAGCGGCTAACCTTGGATGGGGGCCTTTGCATGTCATTTAGCACCATCTCCAGTTCTAACTGGGATGCAATTCTTATCAGCGCACCCTGAGGACAGTTTGGATCCTAGCCAAGAAATTCATCCTATTCAGCACAGGCTTAAATTCAAGCGTATTAAATACACACCTATATATTGTCCAAAATAGCACATTTAACCATATGATTCCACACAATTCAGAACTAGACTATCAGTGTTAAGAATTCATACCCTCCTGTTGAAACACAGAATATAGCTCAAAATCTACAGACCAGTGTTGCTAGAGTCAGGGGATTTATTTTTTTCCCCCTCAGAGGCATGTGGTATTTTGGGGACCTGGGACTTTTCCCATGTGCCTGGGCTATAGGGTGATCCCACCCTTCCGTACTCTGGAATACTCTGCCAACTTGCAGAGTATCCTGAGAGTCTACAGGCATCAATGCAGCAGTCACAGAGAGCATCCTGCCCCTGGGTCTTCCTCCAAGCTCCTCTGAACCTCACCAGATACCCTGGGAATCCACTGGGCAAAAGCACTGAGCTCCTGCCTTACCTTGCAGCATGGCAGAGGTGGTGTAATAGTTAAAAGGAACATTCTTCACCACATAGGCATCCGTGTCCAGAGAGGAGAGCTTGTCTCCCACCAGCACAGACTTCCCTGTGCCTGCGTTCCCCACCAGCATCACCGGCCGCCGGCGCTCCAGGAGCTTGTCCATGAAGTACCGCACACGGACTGTCTCGGTGGTGGGCACCAGGCAAGCCTGAGAAAGGGATAATGAGCAGGTAAGTGACCCCTGTCACTACCAAACTCCCATACCACAATCTGGGGAGAAGATAAACTGGGAAACCCAAAAATGAGCGAAGAGACCCCAGTTTATTAACCGCAAAGAGGAGAGACCAATGCTGCTGCCAGTTTCCATCAAGTTGTCTGCAGAAATGAAAGTTTGACAACTGAATTCTGGGAGCAGCATCTGGATCTCCTTGCAAACATACATTTTGCAACATTTGTAGCATTTTTTTTTTCAAATCATCTTCTCGCATCACACCTTTATAAATGGAAAGAAAAGCGCAGTTGGCAAAAACATCTCCAGTTTCGGCCAGACACAGAACGATGATGTGGTATCTCACAGGCTTTGTCGTTACGTTGTCTCACGTCTTATTCCTGCTCCACAGCTAAACTTCACCCCTCTGAATGCACTCTGGATGCACTCTTCCATTAATACACCACTTGCTCGGTAATCGCAGTAGCTTTGAGTCTGTCTCTGGTGTACATCTGTCACATTTCAAACACTAATTGGAGACATGTTGTCACCGTGCACAAAAAAGAATTTAGTTGCATCTCATGAAGAATGCCATCCTTGTTAAGAAATGTCCAACCCTTCATGAGACTTCCCTGAAACACCCATGCACATATTCTTCCCTAACAAAAAGGTTCACATACCTTCAATGGCATTTCTGGATCAAATTCAAACTGAGGAATAAGTTTGGACCAAGGCTCAAACTTCTTCGTTTCTGGATCAATGTAAAAGTCAAAGACTGTTCCCTGAGAGGGAAATTTGATAGTCTTGAATTCTGCTACCCACCACTTACTGAATTCCACTCTGTAGTCTACAAGCTGCAAGACAAAAGGCAAAGGAAATATGTTAATCCAGAGAAATCCATTAGTGATGGAAATTGTTATCTAACCCAGGCCACCAGAGTGGGACTGGTCCTTAAAACGTATTCCACAGCATAATGGATCGTATCCTTTTTCCTATTATTAAGCCTAATTTTTCATTTTCTTCATTCCATCTCATCACTCCTATTTATTCACCTAAATAATTCATCCTTTGTGCTGATCATTCTTGGTGCATCTGAGATGAGATAGATGGATCAATTTGAAAAAGAGAAATACGTGCCTATGACTAAACAGACCACTTGATTGATTCTTGGTGCCTACTTCTTCCAACAGACAAGGACACAACATCCATCTACATCCTTGGTCATGGTTAGTCAAAGCATGCATATTAAAGCCTTTCCTCATAAATCACAGCATTCTATTAATACTTAGTTGTTGTCTTCTGGCCTTTCTTTTCAAACCACAACATTATTCTGTTGAGAGATGAGGACTGCAGACATCAGTGTATCAAAGCACTAGAAAGGGACCATGCCCCCTTGGTCCTACTGGGTTTTTGTGCTGCCCTACTGCCCTGGAAGCACCTACTTTCCCGTCTTTCCGAAGCGACAATTTTGCTATTAGACGCTCGATCGGGACTTGCAAATATGTTTAGTTCTCTTCTCTGCTACCCATGTCCAACATGACACTGGGCAAGTCACTCAGTTTAACTGACTTCCTACCCAAATGATAGGAATTACAGCACCACTCTGCCCTGGGGAAGAGAGTACAGGGGAAGAAAGGGGAAAATGTTTTTAAGAAGGGTGTAAATTAGAGCCAGCTTTAACATCATGGATTTTTCCTGGAGCATCTGCCAATCTCCTCATAGCCATTTGCTATGCTTTTCCTGCCCAGAAGCCCATCTGGGACCACCAATGCATTTCACACCACCACTAAACCTACACGAGGAAACGATGAATTTAAGGTGAGATGAACTGAGAGAACTATAAAATCTCCGGAGCCATCATCCATCAGCAGATCCAAAGATTTTCGAAACACATTATTTGTATCCATGATTTTGTTGTCTTGTGCTATTCAGAGCGTTAGAATAACTGTAATTCTCTAATCTCCTGTTGTTATAACTTCTCAGCACTGGCAGCAGAGTAGCCTTCAGTGCAAAGGGATGTGCATCACTGGTAGAACTTTCTCACAGGGGTGTCCTTACCCCTGCCCAGCCAAACTGCCTGCAGCTGCTCTGGCATGTGCTGCTTGCATTGCCTAGCAGAGCGGTGAAGTGGAGCCCCTCCACCCCAGCGACACTGCCAGAACTGTGCTGAACTCAAACTGCTGCCTTAATAAAAACCCCATATGGATTTCTGCTAATTTCAGAGCCTTGAAATGGCAAATCTGTCATCTGTTTTTATACAGGGGCCACACTACCCACCAACAAGCGCAGAATAGCAGGAAACCTTCCAGACTGTTTATCCTGACATTTCAGCAGCAAAAGGTCAGCACAAAGGGCACCTTCAATGGAGAGCAATAAACAGATTTTATATTGGATCATTTTTCATCAGGCTTTCAGTCGCTCTCGCTCGGACTGCTGTATCCTCCTATTCTCAGCTCTGACATTTACAGAGCATCAAAAGCAGCAATGCACAGTCCAGCCTCAAAGTACAACCTTCCAGAGGGACACTGTGCCCACACATGCCTCCCTCAACTTGCACAGAGCCCCAACAAGAATGCGATGGTTTATGGCCCACCATTCCCCTTCGAGCCAGGCAGAAAAGTCTACTAGTTGCAGAGGGCCATAAAGCGAGACCAAGGACTGTCTCAGATGCAAAGGAAAGTTATGGGCATGAACAATGTCCATCTGTCCTGCAACCACACACCAGCTGACTTGCTTGAGGAGCTTCCACATCTTGTAATTAGAAGGCAGTTTTTTACTCCTGAAGCAAGGAAAAGCAGTGCTTTGCCAAGTCTTTCTTTTTTCCAAACCATCCCGCATTGATAACACAAGGGCTGGTTACTTCCCAGCTGGCACGTAGGAAATGGAGGATTAAACCCTTCATAAGGACCAAGAGGCGCTGGTCTCTCAAAGGTCTTTCCATGATGACGAGGCCGCGACAGCTCCATGTGAGTACCAAGTCTTGCCTGAGCCGTACTGACAGTTTTTCATCACATCCCAAAGCATCTACTGCTTGGCATGAAGAAAATGTGAACAGCCCTGCAGACATTTCCAGTGAGTGGAGAGGCAAATGAAAAGAAAATGAAGAGACCCTGAGTGCACTCAGAAGACACTTGAGAACAGCATCATCCCTGCCCAAGTTGGGGAAGGAGCCGTGGTGTCAGACAGTGACCTCACATATATTGCAAGTAACACAGGGCTTGTCATAAGCCCATTAAAGAGCAGATGTCAATCTTTGAACCCCCAGCAGAAACCCAGACTCCTCCAAACACTCTCTCTGCTGCCCTAAGACATTTACCCAAACAGAGCTTTCAAACCCAAAGCGCCGGCAGCTCCAAGAGGAAAGCACTCAGACTTTACAGGGAGAAGCAAAAGTGGAATGCTGCCTCAGGCAGGTTTCTGGGGCTCGTGGTACCCATTACGGTGAGTTTTCCACTAGTTCCAGCCATGGGCTTTACCAGGTAGTCACATCGCTCACTGTGCCACTTGCTGACAATATAGCACTCAAAGTTGAGGGCTCCAACAGCAACACATGCTTTTAAAACCCTCTGGAGAATTCTCCAGCTTGCCTAGTGATCAGTTTGGAGAAAGCATTGGCTCCACAGAACGGAATATCTGCCTACAAGCACAGGAACATAATTGTGGAACACAGCCATGGATGGCCAGCTTCATGGCAGGGCTCTGACGCAAGGCATGATCTTCTTGTCTGTTATTACTGTTAGCCGTGGGAAGTCATAAAACAGCAGCAGCTTTTACAATTACTTGGAATTCAAGAGACAGCCATGTTGTGCCAAGGTAAGCCATGCAGCCAAGGAATGGGGCAGAACAAGGAGCTGGAGTGAAAGGACATGCCTGTTCCCCCTTGCCTGCATTTAAGTCCTCAGGGAAATAGAGAGAACAAGGCCTGGGCATGAGGGCAGCACAAGGGAGGCCAGAGGCAGCAGCACAAGCCTGGTATTTTCCATGACAAGTCTGGAGAAGCCTTTGGAGATTCCTGTTATACCCATGGTAAAGCTTCTAACAAAGTGCCTGAATTCCAGCTCATCTGGTAAACCCTGCTCTTCTTGCACCTTGCACGTTTTGAACAGTGAGACTTGAGGAGGGATCTGAAAGCAAACAAAATCCAATGCTGACCTTGCGAGAACTCAGTCTTACAACAATATCACTGTGCAAGGGATCACACCCACCTGGTCTAATGCAAGCTGATAGATTTCAGAGGCTGACAGCTGCAATTAATCCACAGGATAGATGTTTTGTGGGAAGCAGCATGGAGAATAGTGCCTAGTCTTCCTCTCCCTCTCAGACATTAGTATATTTTGAATGTCAGGGGGACACCACTAGTGATACACAGTGCCATTAGTCTTCATGGTCCAAGGGTATTTTAGCCTCTAATTCTGCTCTCCAGCGATGTACTCTTTGGTGTGGTCAGCAGTTCATCAAGGGCCCAGCAACTCATGCCAGAGAATGCCCACCAGCTGACTCCCAACAGGGTTTTACAAGCTGAGTGCCTAAAACAGCCCAACCTCCCCACCAGCTGGCTAAGTGGCCATGCAGCTATGTTTCTGCATAACACGGAAGGACAAGAGGTCAGAAAAGCTTTGACCTGACTCTCAAACACACACAGTCTAAAGAAGGACCCTTCCACGTCTCATGTGATAAAGTTTTCAGACATTCAGAAGCCAGAGGGTCCATCTCAGATGCTTCTGGCCAGACTTCTAGAAGACTTCAGTACCCAAAGGCCCTGAAGCTTGTGAGCATCTCTAATAGCCCTGATGGCTCAACACCATGGTCCCAGAAAACAGCAAGGATTTTGAAGAACAGGATCACTGCATACTTCCACTTACATAGGAGCAAGCAATCCCCAAAGCTCATTCTACTCAGCTTGTCACTTCTGTTTCTTAAATACTTTTATTAGAAAATCAGGAGAGCTGATACCTGACATTTGCCTGTCTTAAACAAAATCCGGGGCTGACAAAGCATGGCCTGGTTTGTGTTATACAATATAACTTATACCTGCACAGGCTGAAACTCTGTTCCAGTGATATATTCATCTGACTAGTCAGTCACATTAATTAATTTGGTCACATTATGCATATCCACAGGCCTCTCAAAATTAACCTACATGTTTCTCCCAATGAAATGGGTGCCCATAAGCAAATATCCCTCTGCCTTTATCACTTTACTCCTGTTTCTCTCCATCTGGTATTACATCTTTCTTTCATAAAAGGAAAAGGAACTATAGCATCAAGGTTTGTAGGTTTAATTAAGGTTTATTATCACCTATATAGGAGCCCCAGGAAATAAGCATTACTGATTAAGTGCTATATTCATTCAAGTAAAAGGGAAAAAAAAAAGGTCTGCATAGAAGATGCTGAAGTTACAGTTTCCTGCTTACCTGGTCTTGAAACATTGATCCACCAAAGGCCCAGATGGCAGCAAACACAAAGTAAAGTTCATATAGCTCTTTGGGACAGTCAAGGGGTGTGTTCTCCTCCGTCAGGAGACATTCAAGGAGGTAGCACAACATCTGAATCATACTCTGCTCTGGGATGGGAATAATCTTCTTAAATCTAGAGGATGGAAATGGACAGTATGTGAAATACAACTGAATCCAGCAAAGCAATTGCTTACAGTCCAGGAAGACTTGCTTTTAAATCCTTTTTCAGAATATTAATATTTTGTTATTCTGCAGTGTGCATCTTATCCATTGGTACAAAAAGAAAGAAAGAAAAAGAAAGAAAACACTCATTCTTTCCCCAAGACCTGCTGGCACCAGCACATATACAAGTAATAATAGTAATCAGAAGTTTCAAACATTTTAAAACTTTGATCCTCTAGAAAGAAGTCAATGGAAAACTTGCTAAAGGGAATGATTTCCTGTGAACACGACAAGTTCAAAAGCAGTCAAATAGGAGTAATAAAATAAACCCTTTCATCTTGCCATTTTACATTCATTTAAGCCACACTTACAGAATTCCAAACTAATATTGTAGCAGCACTGAAGTCCTCCATAAAGTAATTATAGCTATTTGAAAGGTTGGTTCTACAATTTCTGAATTAAGCTAACAACCAAAAATACCCAGCTCAGGACTGCCTGCCGCTAAACCCATGGATTTCACAGCCTGACACATTGTTCAGCAAACAGAGTAGGAAATGTCTGATGGACTGTGTTGCCAATGGCTATAATCATCCTGGTCCCCCTAGAAAGCAGCTTCTCCATTAAGCTGCCTACCTCCTACTTCCAAAATCTTCTGTTTTCACTAAATCATCCCATTCTGGCATGTCACGGTTGTGGTTGACAGCCCCCACACTTCATTTTGGGTTGTTGTTCTTTTTTGTAGTCATTGTTCGTTTAACTGAGGTTCTAGTGTGGGAAGCACTCAGAGGATGGGAGAAGCTTTCCTCCTATTCAAGTCTGTGGGGACTCTACTGTGGCCAGTCCTTGTCATTTCATGATTAAGAGAACTATCTCCCAGGATGATGAGCACGAACCATTCCAAAGCACTTCTGTGTAGGCAGCATTTGGAAGCTAACATAAACCCACAGCCCTGTTTACTGCTGCTAGGCTGAAAAAGACCCCAAATGCTCTACATCAGAGCTCTTGCAAAAATCTTCCCAAAAAAGTTATTTTTATTCATTTGACAGGTGTCCAGCCATGAAACTCACCCAGGCTGGGTATTCAGAGAGATTTATTTCGTTCTGTTCAAATGTACCAGGAAAAGTTGTTAGTGAAGCCATTGCCAGGAAAGCAATCCTAACCTCTCTCAAAAACACCAATTTTCTTGTGATAACCAGGTGCAGGTAGGAGAAAGAAGTGGGAAGGGAAAAAGAGAATCTGTTCTCCCCATTTTTTGCATTGTGTGTTGAAAATATTCTTTAAGTAATGGTTTGAAATCTGTTCCACTGAAAAATGACTTGTGGAATGGACTCAGGTAAAGCCAGACATGTTAGGAGAGCAAAATTGTTCCTCTTTAGGATCTACAGGATTTCCTCTCTAAGAAATGCAGAACTGATGTAGGGAGTAGAAGAACAATCAAATGTAAACCAAATGAAACCAGTTTTGGCCAGAAAATGGTGGGAAGCAGCATTAGCATCCACTCTGCTACTTCCCATATACACATCTCTATATAGTTAAGCCAATGATGCTCAGGGCTCTATGGGCAGGGAAGAAAGCACCCACCTATGTGCAGCTCAGCCCAAGTGAAGCACAGGGCAGTCTGGAAGGCTGTGGGTGTCCCCTCTGCCCTCGCCAACAGTTATATTCACCTTCTTATGCATTACCTTGTTCTAAGTGTATCCAGACAACGTGGCAGATACTTGTCAAACAAAATAGTCAAGTTAGCTCTTTCTGACTGGATCTCTCGCCTGTCAATCCAGCTGCTCACTGGGGGATTCCAGCCTAGGTCCGCTGGGTTGATGTACAGGATCCCTTTAGACACAGGGGAACATATAAGTTAAGGACACAGCAGAGAGAATTCCTTTTCTCCAGTAGAAATGCTCATCTCCTTTCACTCAACTAATCCTCAAACACACCTGGGTACCATAGTACCTTCCCTTTTTCTCTGTCCCAGTTCAGAAGATGTTCCCAAACCTTGGCATTGCACAGCTTTCTATCCTGTCTCTAGTCCCTGGGGCATCTCTATCAAGGTCCATGTGGGATCTGAGCTATGTCCCAGCTAAAGAAGCTGCATGCCATAGCTCGGACGCTCTAGGGCATGGATCCAATAAGACTCTCTAAGTGTTAAGTGATGTTCACATGCAGAGAAAGACTTGGCCCATATAACCACAGCTAGGAGTTCCCCCCACTAAATGCAGAGATGAGAGCTGGCGACAGAGAGGGGCCGAACGGCTCTGTCCTTTGCTAGTGGTATGTTTGTGGTACTTCAGCTCCCTGTATCCCTGCACCCACACAGCCAGGCACACGGGATTTACAGGATGCCATCACAAGGAAGGATTAGCAGATGTCTATAAAGACAATTCACTCTACAGCTCTCCTGCACTAAAATGGAAAGGGGGAAGAGTGAAACAGCAAAGAGACTTCAGTCAGGAAGCTTTTCCTCATGTTGGCCCAAATTAATAACATGGTCTTGCTTGACTCACATTATTGCATGGGACTCATTTCTCCGTGTGTAAAACCAGGAGACACCTTCACTCCCTTCTCCATACTTCATGCACTTCTCCAGAAGATTAAGAACTATTTGGGATATGGACTGTCCCTCTCCTGTCAAGCTGGTACAGGGCACTTGACAGCAGAAGCACTCTTGGCCCTGCTGAAGCGATTGTCACCCATCAGCAGCCAAAAAACCTAATTAGAGCTCCCATGTGACTGTTCCACACTTGGATTTGGCATCAAGATCCTGAGTCTGTCCATGTGCTTCAAGAACTTACCCTTCCCACAAAAGACAGCTGCGACCCCAACTGGGAAACTTCCAACAGGGATCAAATTGGCCAACGAGAGACAGTAGTTAATGGCACTAAACCCTGCTTGATCTATGCAAAATCCCACAGTGCAGCTTGGGACACAGCTTTCCTGTAGGGAGAGCATTAACTTCTCATGCCAAAACCCACCTGCTCTGGACACGGTGGCTGGAGTGGCCGTGCGCAGGTGGCTGATCTCAAAGAGCAGCCGCATCGTTGGGTTCAGAGGGATCCTCTCATTGCTTGCCAGAGTCAGCACCTGCATGTGACACACACGGAGCGGCAGGTAACCCAGGATTCACACCTTCCTCGGGAAGGAGGATGAGGTGTGCTTAGTCCTTGGTACTGGAAACCTTTGGTGGTGTCAGCGCAGTGTCTCAAAGCAAAGCAGCTCATTTCTAACACAGAAGACTCCAATGTCTTTCATGACCCCAAGTGAATAGTCTCTCCTTAGGTAAGGGAAAAGGTGCAAATATGACTACAGTCTCCATTTTAAAGGGCCTGAAATTACGACCAGGATATCTGTGATTATTCATGATTCCAGATCTCCAGTAAAGGGAAATTCCTGTGAAAATTCCTTTGGACAATTTAATTCACTCATCATTTTTATTATTTTTTTATATGCATGCACACACACATATATGAATATGCATATATGTGTATAGGTGTGTACATCTCACTATCTCTCAACAAAACACCACCACGATTGTATTATTCCAAGAAGTATTATTTCAGCAGCTGTATTCCTCCGAGATTGAATCTAGCCATGCAATCAAGGAATATCTGCTTCTTTAACTTTATGCATTACCTTATTATCATCCATCACAGTATTAAGAGACTCAATCCACATCGGATCAATATCTCCATCTAGTACCATCCACTTGGGACCATCATGTGTTATGTTGGCCAGCTCTCGCATGATTGACGAAAACAGTCCTAAAACAACAACAGGAATAACTTGATGAACACTGAATTTGCCTCCTGCTCTGCCACCCTTCTCTAACAACTTATTAAAAATTATCCTACTCAGTGCTTTCCTCTTAAGCATTCAGAACTCTGCACCTATACATGTTTTATGTAATAAATGTTACCATACCAATGATAAGAGCCTAGTCTCCTGTGAAGAAAAACTGCATTATCAGTTAGCACGACTGAGAATGACTGCAGACCTACACACAAGTTTCCTTCCCCTGAGATCCATGAGTGATAAGAAAAGTGAAGAGTAGATACTCAGAGGCAAAAGAGGGCACGAATTACACACCACAAAGAAACCAATCTGAATATGTCTTGGAATTTCTTATAACTGTTTTTGTGGCTCAAAGTATTTCAGGGAAATCAAGATGCATTAAACTCTGGGTCATGACTTCAGTGAGATTGAGGGGAGAACAAGCACAGAATGACATTGAATGACAGAACAAAATGTCAGTAAAATCAAGGAGACTGAGAGGATACGGAGTCTCGAGGGGAGTAAATAATGAATGTTAAGAAGAGCAAGGAGGCTGGGAATAGAGCAGCAATACTGCAGAGCAAATGAAAACTCCACAAAATTATCACTGTCCTCTACATGTGAAAATACCTAGAGAGACCTTTCTTTTCATGAAAAGATATCAGGCATTTTTTTTTTTAAAAAAAAAAAAAAAAAAGGTCCTGTGTTGAATTTTGAGAAGCACTTTTGCACCTCCCCCTACAAGCTATTTTTGTGTGACCCGTGCTAGGTACGGCTAGTGGCATTATATGACTGAAGACAAAGTTTGTGCAGGGCAAATGCAGTAGGTACCAGATCTGGAGGTCAAGTCAAAAAATAACAACACTTCCCTCATTGCTTCAACGCAGTTTCTCACATGTTGGACACATGGCTTGACAGCAGTCTCAAACTACTTCAGAAACAGTTACTGTCTCAGGTCACCAGTGCTCCCTTCACATGCACCATGGCAGCAGGGGAGAGAAAAGAGCTTCTCTTCTAAACTTCAGTGTCTACATCACAAAGCTGGTTTGGGGAATTAAAGAGGAGTTTGGTTCTATGAAGAACACTTTTAAGGTTCTCTTGGAGCTTTTTTGCTTTAACTCACATAACCTCTTCAACTCCTAGGGATGAAAGTAGCAGTGATAGCATGAAAACAGGAAGAAAAGCCAGTATGCAAGGCTAATATGTGAGGGAATGCATCATGTTTTATTGGGCCACAGGGAAAGTCTCCTTGCTAGTATTTGACAAAAATAAACACAATTTTCAGGAATGGTTAATGCAGAAAATATTTGCCTGAAAACTTCAGGGCAGAGGACCCTAAACTCATGTGAAGTGTCATAGGATAGGAAAGCACTGGACAGCCACCTTTAAAATGCTCTTGCTGCTAAGTAATACCAGAGGTCCTTGGTCTGCAGAAATTCCTGCAATCATTCCAGAGGAGCTCAAGCTATAATCCATCACTTTTTCCCTCTGTCACTTTTGACTTAGTATCCCCTGACTACAATTAAAATGAAATTAACCCTGATAGAGGAACAGAGTGAGTGGTCAGGACGGGTCCATAGTTGGAGACAGGGGAGGCAGGTGGGTGGTTCATCTCCTGGAGAAATTCTGCCTGGGAATGATTTATGGTGATATCTCCCCATACCTCCCTCACACCTCCCAAACCAGCCACAAACATAATCAAATGTGCCTTTCCATAATAGAGACAATCAAACATTTTCACTATAGCTTCTTGTGATCTCTCAGCAGATTTTAGACACACATTTTCCTCAGGAGTAACAAATTGGGAAATTGTGGTATACTGCAGAAAGACTGGGCAGCAGTATTTGCAGTTCCGAGTCAGGGAAAGCCCTGCTTTCGGGCTAGCCTATGTACACCACAAAGCAGAATCCAGTACCCACCTCCCTGCCATCACTGGTCCAGCTCCCTCTGAGGAGCTGCCTGTCCCACTTAGAAACTGGTGTATCTCAGCATTAATAGACATGATATTTTTTTCTTAGGGTAAATAAGTCAGAGAAGGTTTATGCTATATTTCTTACTTGAAGATCAAACAGCTAAAACTTCCTATGTTCCCTTTTAACAACAAAATCCCACATGGCTACGAGCAACAGGCAAATGTCTGAGCTTTCAGACCTGCATCCAAAGTCATCCACTGAAGTTCACTAAAAGATCCTTCTTCATCTATAGGTTCAGGGGGTGAAAATACACTTACCGTCTTTCCATTCCCTTGTTGCAGGATTAATAATGCCAAAAAGCTCATCATTAGTGACTGCCTTGGGGTTGAGGTCTGCCCACACAGGACGGCGCTTCATTATCTGGTAGGTCTTGTTCAGGGATTTCAGCACCTGAGATTTGCCTGTGCCTGCATTACCCACCACAAAGACCGAGTGTCGGACTGTCAGCAGCTCCTCCAGCTGCACCACCTGAGAAAAAAAACACCTAAATTTCGGACAAAAATACCACACTGAAGTTCAGATCTACTAAACAGCTCCATGTGCTCGGACTTCCACCAACAGCAGCCTGCAAGGGGGCTACTGCACAGAGCCCTCTTTGTAGGAACAGCAACAGTTGAGAAAACACAAATGATTTGATGGTGGCATAGCAGGGACAATAGATTGCTTAGTCTTACTTTGAGCACAAAGTTGTCTTCAGCCTGCAGCCGGAGGTCCAACACGGCCTGCTTCACAAATGACTCAAAATTCAGGTCCCGCTTCCGAGGCACATCCAGTGCAGGGAAAAGATCCCCAATCAGGCCCATAAATACTGGCATATCATCGGTCACAATCTTGGGGATGTTGAAGTCGCGAAGAGAGCGCATCAGAACCTGGTCTTCGGGTCGCTCTGGGTCCCCTCGTTTGAGGGAACCAGCAACAACTAGCACTGACTTGATAGCACGTAAGCCCCAGTCATAGTGATCCTGCACAGGAAAAAAGGAGGAATGTCATGGTTAGGTGGCCCACAGGGGGAAGAACCAGCAACTCCAATTTGCCAGACAAGTCAGCACTGGAAATACATCCAAATCTATTAATTACATCACAGCCAGAGACCTCCTCCAGCTTGAGTCACCTGGTTTCCTATCACCAGTAGGTGAAATTCCTGTCAAGGACAGTATTAAGGAGTCAAATAACTCAGCTCTTCCCACCAAGAACTCTTCCCACCACCATGTGAGCTCAGGTTAGGTCTTACAGTCTTGAAACCTAAGTAATTTGGGCCATGTAAAACAATAAACAGCTAAAGCCATGTCAGACAGATCCCTAGTGCTCTGGGTCTGCACAAGCTACCAAGGATCTTTGAATATTCCCCTAAATGTGGTGTCATTTGAGTGCATAGAAAAACTCTCTCATATTGATGTAGCTGATAAAGCACTTTGGACCCTTGCAGATCCTCCAAGAAAGCAGTCTGAAAATTTCACTGCTCTGACAATCACAAACTTTCTCCTAGCTGACAGACTAAATACATTCATTAAAAAAAAGCTGTGAAGTTCTAGCTATAGAAGTGATATAAAATTGTGCTACTGGTTGTTGGGTGATCAGCCGTGAAAGGAGACTCACCTGTTTGGACAGGAGTTCTTTACAGAGCTGGTAGAGAGTAATGAACTTCCTTGCTAGAGCACGGGCCTCAATGAAACCCTCAGCCACCAGCATAATTTCACAGATCAGCTCAAAATCTGGCACAACCATTGCACATGGCCTAAAAACATAGCAGAGAATATGTTGCAGAACAAGTATTTTTCATCTCCAGGCCCTACAAACAGAGGTCAGGCATAATAAGCTGCCATTCTTTATTAGTAAGGGCTAGCTTGGCTTTGAATTCAGTCACACAAACAAGAAGCAGCCTACACTGCTTTCATCCAGCCCAAAAGACACGAGAGCTCACTACCTAGATTTCACTGGATTTATTCACTGTAACTGTTCTGTTAAAGTATGTAACTACCTAGCAATCAGCCAAAAGGCAGCAACAGCCTTCGCTTATTCCCAATCAAGAATTTGTTTGCAGACATGACAAGACAGTGGATTTGCAGCTTTATCTTCCATTACTACTTACGAGCCAGGTCCATAAACTTTGTCACTACAATTTGACCTATCTATAAGTTCCCAAACTCAGACTTCTTCTGCAATGCAGAAATTATCTGAGAATCACTAATGAAAGTGAATTGCCCAAGGAAATACAGTCAAGCCTTTATATCCCAAAAGGTGACTGCTGCTACTCTTACATAGGACAAAAAAACCTGATCTAGACTTACCTGAAAAGAGCTTTTAAATTCTCAGGTAGCTCAGTTCGACCTGCATAACCAGGGTTCATGGTGATGAAAATACCTACTGAGGGCACTAAGTTAATGTCTTCTCCAAGAAAATTGAAGGATTTCTTTTTTTCCCGTATAGCATCCTGCACACTCTTCACCTAGGAATCAAGTCAGTATTTTAGCACAAATGTTCAATTATGAAAAACAAACAAAAAAACATATTAGACCACCTTGCTGCCTGCCTTATATTTGGCCCCATGATGAACATGGTTTATCACTCTTTTAGTGACTTTGTAAAGCTTTATATGCTGTTTGGGATCAATCTGTGCAACAATATCCACCTTTCATTACCAAACTCTGACAAAGCAGAGAGAAGAGCCTGAGGAACCGGACAAAGTACAAAATGCATCACCTCTGCCAGCTTCCTCAGCTAGCACAGGGCCAGACACACAGATAAGATGCAGGACTGTCCATGCATCCAGAACAGAATCAGCAGCCAGATGCAGTCCCGAGAGTCCAACACAAAGTGGCTTCTTATTTTCTTCACACCTCCCTGCACACAGATTCTCTGTTGCTCTTTACAGCATCCCAAAACCCTTCTGTGCATGTTCTGTTCCTTAAATAAAAACAAGAACCTGAAAAGAAGCAGTATTTCCCAGTAAACTTGCTCCCAACTCAGTTGCAAACTAATCACTTAATACTTTTTCTTAAGATTTTGGAATATTAGATGTTTTGTTTAAAACTGAAACACAAGGCAGAAGCTGTGAGATGCTCCCCTGCCATGTTTACTCATTAACGTTGTGTTGTCTTTTACATTTTTGTAATTGCAACTTCGTTCTCATTTCTCACCTTTTGAAGAGGGGAAGTTTATTAGAGCTAAATCATCCTTTCACAGACAGCACTTTAGTGAGAACTGTCTTTATTTTCACCACTCTAACCTTACCACTGTTTGTTATCTCAAAGGTAAGCAATTAATCAAATTCCTTCTGTAAGAAAGCATATCGACATTAGGTGCATGACTAAGACGGCCAATTAAACATTGCCATGGTTACACTCCTAATAGCAGCCAGGAGACACGATGAAGGAATGACAGCCGTGCTGCTTTATTCAGATGCAGCACTCCAGCCAGGAGCAAGAGAATCATTAACAGTTGAGTCATATCTGGGCTTCTTTTGTTCAGCTTTCCCTTTTATTTTAAGATCCTCAAAGACTTTTTTCAATGACAATTTTAAACTGGAATCTGACAGAACAGAAATTGAGAGGGAACGATGTATAAACTCATGTACCAGCCTGGGGCTTCTTTGGGACGTCACATAAGGTACCAGTTATGAGTGAAGGCAGATGAGAACAGCATAGAGTCCGTGGAGAGGTTTAGAATAGCAACTTTTAGTCCTAGATCTACAAGAATATAGTAACTTCCTGGGTTTAAATCTTACTTCCTAGATTCCTGATCCCAAAATGGGTACCTAAAATCAGACATTGGGATTCTAAAACCCTGCACTCAGCTGATGCTTGAGCCCAGAATTTCAGTTTCTCAGGCATCTCAGTTTTCTACACTAAAGTTCCCCAAGGCTCAAAATTCAGCAGATTCAGTCTGGACAATGCCGTTGAGTATCCATCCTCTGCCCAAACTCCAGGAGTAGCTGGGATCGATGGGATTCCATCTCTACTTTGCATGAGGGCACGCTTGGAATTTTCAGAGGTGGTCAATGCAGTTTAGAAACTGGGGAACATCCAGGCACAGCTCTCTAAGCCAGGACTAGGAGAGGCAGCAGGACTGCTTTCATCCTGCTGCCAAGAAATTATAACACTTGCCTGTATCTCAGGCCCTGCCAGAGGGGATTCATATCTGCAGCAGTTACCCTAACAGAGTGCTCCTTGACTGAGCACTAGGCATCCATGAGAAGACTGCCAAGAGCCTCTCTCCTAGGGAAATCCTTCCCCCTGAATAAAATAATTCCGTATTTACTCATAGACCATCTGGAAAAAGGAAAGGAGGAGTCCAAGTGACAGAATGCACATAAGCACAAGCAAGCAGGACTCTCTGGCATGACAGGGAGGACAGTCTCCTTTCTAGTTCCTCTCCCAGGATTACTGATGTGCTGTATATAAAACTCATCAGTAAAACGCACTGAGCAGTTAGATTAAGCAGGAGACTAGAATTCATCCCATAGGGAAAATGCCTATGCATTTGAAGAGCACAGCTCAAATAGCTCTATGTTATGTTTAATTCCATGCTATCAGTGTATACTAGGTAAACACATAAATAATGGCTGCAGTTTTGCTGGAGGTTATTGAGTGTCACCTGGTGGTTACAGACTTTTCTGAGCATTGCTCTGCAAATGTGGGGTTCTATAAGGTTGAACCCTTATAGGAAAAAACACACTCAGCTAGTAATGTCCCCTTTATAGCTGTTTCACAGAACTCTCATGACAAACACTGAAATTAAATCTACAATCACATACAAGCAGAAAGAAGGAAGAAAGAATAGCCTTGATGACATGCAAGTATTAAGAAAGTCATGGGCCATGGTGCATAGGGACCTGGGAAAAGGTGCTATAAAGAACTGTCCCAACACAAGCACTCTAACTGAGGGGAAAAAGAGAAAAGACAACAATATTTACAGCACGACTGCCGTGTTGTGTCAGTGCCATGATATCCATGCAATTAATCTGGGGATATAATCCCTCACCTGGCTGCACACTAAACTGTCAAACCAGGAACATGCCCCTTCCACAGCCACCCTTGCTCCGGTGAGAAGAGCATGGCTCTGCCTTGTTTGTATTTATTTATGAGTGTTTCCTCACTTACCTGTACAGCCACCACAGAAAGCACCTCGACTGAGATTCTGTTAAATTCATCGAAACAGCCCCAGGCTCCCGTCTGGGAAAGGCCTTTGTAAATATTCCCACAAGACTGCAATGAAAAATTACAAACATGACATTACCAATGAAATAAGAAAAAGGTGGATTTTGTTTCTCAGCCTGTTTATTTATAGAAATTTACAGTCTATTGTGGGTATTTAGAAAAGTGCATGGAAACAGCAGGCACAACTCAATTATAATATTTATAGCTCTGCACAGTTTGCCACTTGATTTGTTAATTGCACTTTCTCGATATATCTGTGCATAAGTTTCATTCAAAGGTCACCTGTGTTGAATTACTGACAGTCACGCTTCCTGGGAGAGTCTACAAGCTGAATAAAATACGTTGTGAAGCTCCCAGAACCACTGCACCATGCCAGACACGCAGGAAGCAAGCCACAATCTGATGATCTAGTGTCATGCAGTGACTAGAGGTTCAGCAGGTTGTGACCTTCTTCTGGCGAACAAAGGATCTCACACAAAAAAATAAAACAAACAAACAAAAAGACAAGAGTTTCCCAAGGCCAAGGGGCATCGGTCTGCAAGGATGGTAGGAAAGAAAGACTTTTTTTGAAGCATTTGGCTGAAAAAGTTAGCTCCAAAAGACAAGGAAAGGGTGTAATAAGGCACTTGGCTCCCGTGAGAGCACAATTTGGGTCTCTGCCTCCTAAAGAGCCCCTATAGATCCAGAAGAGGAAAGGAAGCCCTACCTTGTAGTCCATCTGCTCGGAGCAGTTAAACACATACACCATGATGCCCAGGGCTCGCCCCAAATCCTTAGTAGTCTCCGTCTTGCCGGTGCCTGCAGGACCTGCAGGAGCTCCACTCATGGTTAGGTGCAGTGACTGGGTCAGGGTAATGTAACATCTTCCACAGAAAAAGGTAAAGAAAAGCAGGAAAGTCATTGATATTTGTTCATGTCCCTGATGGGGTCTAGAGCAATGACACTGAGGCAACACACCCTCATTTTGCAAATATGAGCAAAGTGCATGCTGAAGGACTGACACTGGCCTGATACGAGGCATGTCCCAGATCCCAGATAGCATGAGAAGAGGTTGGCTTTTCTGAGAGAAAAAGAAAAAATCCCTTTGCTGCCCAAAGTTCTCAACAGAAAGCATCATGTTTCCCATCGCCCTGCAGAAATCTGCTGATTTCCTACCTGTCAGTCAATGGAGTGATCACAAGCCGAGGGGTGTTGCCAAGATATTCATAGGAGTACAGGAACTGGGCATCGCAGATATTGGCAAAACAGTGCCGCTCTTCATCCGCCCATCTGTGCCGGAGCTGAGACAGCCAAATGAACGCCTGAGCGTTGTCCACCTGAAATGTATCCACAAGCACTGTCAGAGACCCCACAGTGGCCAAGAAGATTCCAAAAAGGAAAGCCTTTTCTTACTTTCTAGATCCTTAACTGAGACTGGAAACGTCTTGGGAAGCTGTTGGACACATGACCCACCAACAGATGCTTTGGTAACATGGCACAAGGCCATACTTTCATTCCCAGCATGAACCTAAGTATCCCAGGTCCTTCAGTATTGCAGGGCCATAATGCACAGCAGTACTGCAGGCTTAGGGGGTACTTTTTCCCTCCTTACAAATTTGTATGAGTTCGATCTTCCATTCCCCACTGAAGTAGATAGTGATCGGGATGCATCCAGCAGTAGAAATGTCTTGCCCATCCTACCACCCCATTAATCCTCCTGTCCAACACAGGATGGTGCTGAGCTACGAACACAAACCTTCTGAGCTATCATCTTCGCCACCACATCCCGAGCGTGCACATCGATGGTGCAAATGGTCATGATTTTCTGCCTGTCACCCTTGGAGAGCTGCCCAATCAACATGGTAACAAGGGTATTCAGCTGAGCCACTTGCTTCTTGTGATATTCCTTCATCGCATTCTCGTAGCCTTCCTCTAGTCTGGCAAAGGCAATTCCAACCTCAGTCGTCCACCAAATCTGGGTGCAGGAAAGAGCCACCTAGGAAAAAAGGCTTGCTCAGGATGAGGAAAAATTCCAGGGCTATCCATGCTTAAGAGTGTCTGATTCACAGGAATATCAAAAACCAAGAATACTGGACAAGAAAATAAGTATCTAAAGGCGCAGTAGTCAAAACAGGCACAACAACAGGGCCTGCCCCATGACAGCCATTTCAGATATCACATCAGTGATACAAGCATATCTAGCAACTACTTACTAGTAAGTTAGTTTCTTTTAACTTTTGACTTTTAAAAATTTTTAATTAGTAAATTGGTAAATTGGTAAATTAGTCAGATGAGGCAGAGGAGACAGCAGAACAAGAATGACCACGAGCTGTCAAAAGTGAATCTGAGGGGCTCTTTCTCTTAATAGCCCTGACCATTTCTTTTTCTCCTTCCCTGGGTATATAAACTTCATGGCTCACGAAGGTACAAAAGGTATTGCCCAGCTCCATGAGGTGTGACACCCCACCTGCAGTATATCCTCCCTAGAGCTCCAAGCAGACCACGTCTCAAACTCCATTCATGGTATTCCCACCATCAAGGGCAATTTGTCCCTTCCTCCCTCATGGATAGCAGGGTGGATGCCAGAACCTACTCCATCAGCAGCTGGAGGCCATTATTAAAAGACAACAAAAGTAGAAGGAAAAGCCATGAGTGGCCTTTTCCAGTGTGCCAGTCAAAGAGGAAACAAGCAAGACAAGATACCTGGGCAGGATAGTCAAAGAGCCACTGCTCCCTGGGCTTCTCCTCATAAGCAGTGACTGCTTCTGTCATCTCGTCTCTCACAGTAGCCCTCATGCTATGTAGCACATGATTCAGCCAGATTTCAACCTGAAGAAAGTATTAAATATGCAAGACATTATATACAACAAAATACTTGCTTTTCTTAAATAGCTTGGGTAGTAAGCAAGACATAGGGATGGGATAAGCATCTTAGCACTCATGTTAAACATGACTCAGAGTCCTTAGACTCAGCAGATTTGGCGGATTCCGGTATTTCAGTATTAGCATGATTCGAGGCTCTTACAGACACTAGCAATACAAGGTAGGCTTGCTTGAACTCCAGCTATACCGGAAACCAAAATGAATTCCGCTGATGAGTAATTTGCTTCAATGTATTCCACCTCCAGGCCATAAGAAGAATCACACATGGGAGTCAAGCACATTCTGCCAGCAGCAGGCAAAAGCTGATGCCAAATTTGGGAACAAAATATTCCTGCT